AATAATAATAATAATAATAATTGGGGGTTACCAAGTTGTCTGAAACACGATACCATGAAAGGAGCAAGTGAAAGAAGGTCCAACAATGTTCCAAAATTTCCGTACCTTTCTTCATAGACTGCAGAAGCTGGCTTTTCTTGCGTAGCCACGGGATGATGATCTCCACCTCGTGCTGTTGCCGCTGATCAGGGCTCTTCTTGATCACATTGATCACGCGCTCGTACATCTGACTCATCTTGGCGCGTGACCCGGTGGAAGAGCCTGAAGGCAAAATAAAAAGATATTGAAATAAATCAGGTGTTCTAGGGTGATGATCTGTGAATCTGTACTGCCTCATGATCTGCTTAAAATGATACAGATCATTAAAAATCTGAATTGGTGTACCGTTTTTACGGAAGTATAGATACGCCAATGAAAGAAACAAGGGGGAGAATGACGAAATAATTGTTGCAAAATACTTAATAAAATACTTGGCGCTCTTTTCTTAATATGCAAGTGACTGCCTTGTCAAATTTAATGCAAACACTTTACGCCAACAAATATATAACACGGTAGTGTTATACAATTTGTCTCTGCCTTAAAATCACATTTTCAATCACGGAAGAGAAACCAAAATTAGAAACAAAAATCTTGGTAGAGTAATTTATCTAAGTAATTGAAGATACACCCCTTTCGGTTGACAGCTAATGGAAAGTCGGTGCCGTCTCTAAGTCGGAGAAATACCTTGGGCCTCATTTAAGTCATTTCGCTTCTTTGATCTCTTCCACCCAAAACAGTCACTACACCTGGGAAAATTTTAGTTGAGGCCAATCCCAGGTCCGAGCGTGATGTAACCTTCCGACCCGGAGAACATATCCGTGTTCAGGGCTACTATGAAATGTAATATAGTCCCTGTATTTAGTTTTATCATACTTCCTATTAATCACGTATGTTATCTTTAGTTTCTTTATTATACCTATAAATTACACACATTTAGTAATAGTTATTGGGCACGCAGGACTTAGAACGATTCCCTATAAAATGAGGGCTTCTCAGTTAGGGAGAGAGAGACCCCGGGAGATCGTCAGACTGTCCCTGCCTGCGTGCCAGATTGTAGACCGTGTATGAGAAATAAAATCGTCATGAACCACATCTGAAGTTGTTGTGTGATTCCAAGCCGTCGCTCTCATAAAAATAAGTAACCAACCAGGGTTACAAATATTTTAGAGCTCCCCTTTTTAGGCAACGAAAGTAATTTGCTGTCATTTTCGCCATTATGAAAAACAATTATATCAACGTTTTTTTTTAATTCATGACTTTTGATCGTTCTTTAGTGGCACATTACGACAATTGGCTTCACTTCAGCGCGAAAAAAAAAACATACATTGCCTTTGAACAATCTACAGGTATGTTAGGATCACCCGCTAAAGGGCTTTGGGGGCATTTAGCATTTTTCAATCTTCAGATAAAGAAGACTAAGAAGAATATGATAATTCAGTGTAATAATTAAAAAAAATACAGGTATTCAGTTATTTGAAAGTCCGGCTGTGTGGCCACCGAATTCAGCGCCGGGGACCCGTCTTCCGATTTCCTTTCGTTCCTCACCTCTCCGAACATTTTCAATGGTAGCAACGCAGAGGAAAATCTTAAGTCAGGCAATCTTATCTGAGCTTCTTATGCTGCTCATGTTAAATGTAAATTCTACAAACGATTTATGCTTTACTTTGGGCTTTACGTGATACACTTATCACCTAATGTCTCGTGTTTTATTGTTACGGGATTTAGGCACCTAGCGTACGTTACGTCACGTTATTTGCACCCAGAAGTGCCATAATGGAGAGAACATATCAAGTCGTGTGACTTTGAAATCCTCGAGTAAATATTTATTTTATTTGAAGTCCAGATTTTTTGCAAATAAAGCGCCCGAACACCAGAATATCTTAGGACTGAAATACTTAATGGCATTTCAAAAGTAATATTCAGTGGAAAAAGGGACACAGAAACGAATTGAACAGGCCTTCGCCGAAGTCTTTTATCGGAGTTTTAGACGGCTGAATCCATTATAGCCAGTCCTTATATCATATACATTTGGGAAATGATTTCTTCAAAGCTTTTTTTTTTCTTGGGGGGGTCTTTTCTTTTTCTTTTTTTTTTTTTTTTTTTTTTTTTTTTTTTTTTTTTTTTTTT